ATACAATAAATTCTTCCCCCCCCCCTCCCTTTCTGTCGGTTACAATACACAAATCAAACCAATACCAAATGTATTAAACAATTTAAATTAACCTTTCTCTTAGTCTCATTTAAATTTAAATTTAAACTTTATTTTTTTTTGACTCCTTTTCAAGTGCTTTCTCTTTTGCTTTCTGATACAAAGGCACAAGTTTGCCTTCTTTAGCAAGAATCTTCAAAAGTTCCATGATAAGTGGTAAATAATTATGCTTTCTTCTGATATTCTCTATTTGGTATCTCTTTGATTTGCTACTCTCTTCCTCAATTAAGGTTTGCAGACGTTCTAACTCTTCAGGATCACAAACATTGGCCTTCTGCCTTTCATATAAAGTTTTTCTGTCTGTCACTATAGCCATTAAATTGAAATGAATCTCGCCTTCGTTATACCTGTTTAATAATAATTTTTATTTTTATACTTGATAGCAATATATAATATTAAAAAATATATATATGTATGTATGTTATATATGTACACACATAGCAAGTTATTGAGAAAGCTACATTTTGTAACTTACTTGTTTATCCGTTTTTGAATTATAGGTTTCGCAGCTTGTACCCATTGTTTCCCTACTGAACACGGACCCAAATCAATTGGCCCATCTTTCAATCCATCTAATTCATACAAACGACCATCAATCGGAACATAACTCACAAAATGAAACACATCATCATCCTTAGATGCCTGTTTTGAGTCGTATTCAAATAATGTTTGTCTAAAATTTTAGTATATAATAAATTTTCTTTAACGTAAATATTTAATGGTTAAAAAGTATATATGTAATATAAAATACCTGGAGAAGGAATTGTGTACTTCTCTTATAACATCAGAATTACTAAGTGCAAGTCCACGCATATTTGCATCAAAGCTTTGACAGAAATTTTTAAATTCTTCTAAGTTTGGTCCGAGAGATATATCTGCATGCTTACAGTTTAATAAAACGCTCAATATTGCTTGGGTCGCGCAAGCATTATTTATTACCTAAAAATAAAATATTATCTTTTTAAACACATTTAAAATTTTTTATATTCAATAAATTTCACATGAATCAATAATTACTTTCCATTTACACCGATTCTCAGATAATTCTCACTTATGACGTCATCATTCAGTTGAATGCGTGTTCCTTTTGCAATGTGACAAGTGAGATTTAACTGAGTTTTGCTTATAATCTGCACAAAATCGAGATCGTGTTATTGTAAGAAATACCATATACAAAAGTCTCTCCGAGAGATGAATCTGTATTACCATGTGATAACTTTTGTACGCATTGTACTTCTTACAACAACACCATCTTGATCTTGTGCACATTATAGGCAAAATTCAGTTAAATTTCACTTTCTTCAAGAGATGAACCTGTACTGTCATGTAATAACTTTTTACCAAGGTAAGCAAATAATGACGTCATTAATACGAGTATGAAATGCTCAACTCACTTCAGACTCAGTTTCACTTATGTGTAAATGGGAAGTAACTATTATCTGTTAATTATCTCAAACTATATTCAATAAAATAATATAATCTATGTCATTTTGTCTATGTTCCAAATATTCTAATGTATTCTAATTCTTTTACATTTTTATACTTTGTAAAAAAATTAATAATAATTATATTTAATTTACTATTAAAATAATTTTCTATTTCTAAGTTAGTAGTATATTTAAGATATCTATTTTATACTTTACATACTTGTTTTGCAAAGAATATTTTGTCCAATCTGTTATCTTGTACAATATTCCCTGATAATTCATCATCTTGTACCCATTTGAATAAAAATATTAAACCATGAATAGGCCTAAAAGAAAAAGAAATTTGTAACAATTAAAAAAATGACACATAAAAATTAACATATTAAGATATTGATATTGTCTAAACCAGTATAATATATTTATCACTTTTCATATCTATGTATATTTTTCTTATTTGTACATCTAAAAGAAATCAAGTATGAAAACATTCTGAAGAAAAAAAACAGGAAAAACAAACATGCAAAAACATTAGTTATCAAGAATATATCTTATTTTTTATGTACAAATGTCTTTCAAATAGTAAAAATTGTCAGTGTCAATGTTACACAAAATAAGCTTACATCAAATCATTGAATTGTTCATCATCCAAACTCCATAATTCTTCTACTTGTGCACCTTTGACCCCTATACAAATACAGCAATATTTAACATTTCATTTAATAGTAGATGATTTTATATAAGATATAATATATTGATACAATTGAAAAAATTATTTTAAAAATATTGCAAAGATTCTGTCAGGCTTCATAATCACAATTTAGAATCAAGCTATTATAAATATTTTTATATCAACATAAATAAATATAATAGAGAACACCTAGGATCGATCAAAGTTAGATCTTTCGAATAATATAATATTCTTGGTTCATGAATTTAATTATCTCAAATGTGACTGTGTGCGTCATATTTATATATATTTATTTATAGCTTGATTATAAAGTAATTATTAATTTGATTTTAAATATACATATCAATATGTATGTATCTGCTATATACATACATATATACATATATGTTTGTATATGTGTGTGTGTATATATGTGTGTTTACATATATATTTTTATGTGCTTATTATAGATGTATTTTTCTATATGTGTATATATGTATATTTAATTATATAGTTTATAGTTTATAATTTATTAATAGTTTATAGTTCTTACTAGCTTTCACATGCATGACAAATGCTTTCCATAAAGAACTTTGCCCAATTCGGGTAACGTTAAAAATAGTGCAAGCAAAGAACGCACTATGATTACAGAGAATGAAAAATTGAAATATACTTGCCGAATTCTTTAATCAATTCCGTAAAAACGCCAGGATCGCTCTCAATGAGACACCAATTTCCTGCTGAGTCCGCCATATTTTATACACTATCGTAAATGTATTACGTGTAGAAAATAAGTAGAGAGCAGTAAAAGGTACGTGAAATTTCTCACGAACTAACGCGCCACTCAGCGACAAATTCTGCAACCTTCTGGAAATATCTGTACTATTTTCTCTGTACTATTTTTGTAGACACCTCTCAGGCTTTTCTCTGCACCAAAAAATATTTGACATTTTAGAATTGTGATGTTCTTAAATATGATGTCATTTTTATCATAATGTTTTTCAGGCTGCGATTTACTTGATGCTACAAATGCTTCGAAGCATTTTTTGATTGGTCAATTAGTAAAATTCTTTCTTCCGATTGATCAATTAAAAGCTTCAAAGCATTTGTAACGCCAAGTTGACCGCACTCTCTGAGGCGTGTTCAGAGAGTTAATTCTGTATCTTCAAACAAGGTGAAAATTATAAAAATAAGTAAATTTACTAAGTGTTGACCAATGAAATTATCAGTATTCTAATAATCTTTGCTCACTTTTACAATTTTCACCTCATTTCAAAATACACAATCAAGTCCTTCTGAAGGTTCTTTGAAAGGAGGTGAAAAATACAAAAGTGAGCAAAGATTACTAGGTATTGATCAATTAAATTATGAATACTCTAGTAAATTTGCTTACTTTTGGGTGCTCTCCAGGTATTATCCTTGTCTAATGTACGATAAACAATAAAGATAGAGTGATACCTGGGTGACACTCGATTGGGTATCTGAACTCAATAAAGAATAGACCTGTTCTTTTTGGCTGAACTTTTGCCCCAGTTTATCTTTCTTCTTTTTTCCTCTTAAAGAGAAAAGGAAGAAAGATAAAAACTGATGTAAAATTGTATGATAAAAATACGCCATGTGTGAAATACGATTCGAAATATGATTGTTAATACATTACTATTATATATTATTATTTATACATATATATTATTATATATTATGATTATATTGTTATATTATATAAATATATTATTATCGCTATTATATTATGATTGGTAATTTGATGAATTTTGGGAGCTTTTGGTGAATTTTCAAGCAAAGTTTTGATAAATTCTTTTCTTAACCCGCTACCCTGTATATAATTACCGACGATCGGTGACGATCAATTCAACATATATATAAATGATTTGTACATTTTCGAGCTAATATAATTTTTGCTTATAATAATTTATAATTACAAATTTGCTCGCAAGATTGTACGAATATTTACATGACGGAAAACGTTTGAAGATTTTCACTATCAGAGCTCAACGCGAAGAAAATGACGGTCTCTTTGCCATCACGCACACAATGACAATAAGTATACGAATATACTGCAAATACACGAGTCAACTCGACATACGGGTGGTAATTCGTTTCGATGCCGCACGCCGAATCGTGGAAATAGTGCGTAACAATTAAGTTATCGCTAGCTACTGTGCGGTTTGTTTTCTCTTTGTTTGATTGCCTTTATTTACATCGGCATCGACTCAGGTATGTAGATGTTTCATACAGTCTTCCAGTAATGTCGCATCGCTATTAACCTAATATAAGCAGTAATTTCGTAGTTGAGATTTTTTTTCAATGATGTCGAAGACTGGTGACTGTTGTGTTCCTGTTTCTGCGTTTAAGTGTATTTATTTTTTATTTATTAACGCATTATTACATATTTATTAACTAACATTATTCTTAAATTTTTAAAGGAAGCCTTATATTAACACATATTATCTTATATTAATATATAAATGATCCTTTTGTGGTTTCATTAGCTATTACAATTTTCATTATCATCCTTGTTGATTACAATATGTTGATACTGCTCTCGAAATCATAAGTTATTAAATAACATGTATATTGATTCATTTATAGTAATTATATTTTTAATATAAAAT